TGTCCTTAAAGAAACAAGGAAAAGCGTATGATTTTCCAGATTTTGTTAATGCTGTATCCCAAACAAATAAGGGAACAGTAGAAATCAAAAACATGTCTTTTTCAGATTTCTATTCTTTCAAATCTTTCGTTTCACAACAAAAATTAAAGAAACAAATGAATCGAATTTATCTCAAAGACATTGTTCAGATTACCGCTCGCAGAGGGCAATATTATCTTCTTTTCAAAACCTCACATTCGGAATTGGAGCCGAATAATTGTTTAGATTTTCTACAGTTTAAAGCAACCAAGCCCAATGGTATGAAATTGCCGGAGCCGTTACATAAGCCTCGCGGTTTTAATTCAGAAAAAAAGGAAAACATTTTAAAAGTGTTGAATACAATAATGCCTGAAAACAGAAAAGATTTTTGGCGAAATATACCTGCTAGAGCTGATTCCAATTAGTGTTGTTCTTTGGTATTTAGCGCATATCATTATGAATATTTGTATTTTTGTTTTTAGTTTGTCAGAGAATCAAAACAAAAAGTCTGTTTTTAAATATATCGAGAGTATAATTCTATCTGTCACAAATTATTGGAAAGTAATTAGCAGAAACACTTAGCAAAAACGCAGTACCGCAATAATCTCAAGCAACATGTGACTTTCATTATACTTCTTGCTTAAGAGAAATGCAGTTTCTGGCTTGAAAATAAAACCAGTCATTTTTTTTCTACATTTTTGTGAAAATATGTTTTCTCAATTGAATATACTGGGTTATGACAATAGAAGGCAGCGAAAGTATTTGAACTCTCTTACGGCTCTGAAAAAAAGAAAAAACATGTTTTCCTCCATGCTTTATTTTTTGTAGATGCGGTGTTATCGCTAAGCACGGCAGAATTACAGTGTTGATATGCTACTGGGTGTAGTGTTTTGGTTCTCTGAAAGGTGAGCAATCACTGAGTATTTCCTTTATTCTTTTTATATTCATGATCATGAATGTAGTAAGCCATATTTATAAAGAAGTTTTGATCGTATAGCCCGATTTATAAAGAGGCTTTGTCCTTTGAGCATAATATATTCCTATTTATGAAGGTGCTTTCATCATATATCCATATTTATAAAGATGCTTGGATCAAATATCCATATTTCTATTAATTAAATTAACTCGCTCATACAGGTGTGACGCTTCCAGTCTCTGGGGGTTGTCCTAGGTCTGAATGACCGCTTAACCATCCTCTCTTGGTAATCGCTAGCGTCTGAATGTATCTGATGGCAGGATGTGGGGATTGTTATTCTAAAGATTGTCAGCTTGCTCGGTTATCTCTGATTAAGAGGTAATGTCGGAACCTTTGGATATTGACACAACGGCCGTTGGCCAACGTGATATCCTGGATCCTGGACAGCTTTTCGTAACAATCAAACTCAGCATATCTGTCTATACGCATGGGTATGAACATAGGTTGCTGTGTGCTTAAAACTACGTTGATCACATAGGCTTCTGTGTGCTTAAAAATTAAAAAAATAAAAAGTGTAGGACTGTGTGTCCTTGAGGGACTGTGTGTCCCAGGGGGCTGTGTGCCCCCGCTCTTAGGGTCTGCGGACCAGTATATGACAAATCATAAATAAATAATGATGAATTGGTACCACTGCGGATAACTCATGTAATCCTAAGGTAGTGTATGTTATGAATCGGTTAAAAATGGGAGGTAATCAAGTCATTTTTCTAAAAATAGATATTGGCACCGACAATCCGATCCTACCGCCCTTATCGCTTGACAAAGGAGGATAACTCGTTGCCGTTCCGTCACCAAGTAAATGGCTTTAATATTATCCTGACATTTTTGCCCATATCGAATTGTTTACGTACTACCTTTGTAGTAAAAATGAAATGGTACAGGGTGGTACTTCGGAACCTTCTAAGATGGGTTTGTGGTTTTCACGTTTATCATTATATTCTATTCTATTATTATCATTTCTCTCTTCGTATCGTACACAATTATTGTAATATCTAATTAAGAGTATGCTACGCCACTGTAACGTAATGTAACTACAGTGCACCGCAAAAAGGTGCCAGCCATTTAATACATGCGTTTTCATTTCTGGATACCTCATTAATTCATGGACTTCGTTTGCCCTGCTTGTGCCCGACATTTAAAAGGGTTGCTGGAATGTTCACCAGAATCTCGTTAATTGCTTTTTAACATTAGATGCAAATGAATTCCTTCTTCCCTCCCACACATAAGCATTGTATTGAAAAATTTTCTACTTTCAGATAAATATCTTAGAGATTTTATGATCGTTAACGCGTCACTACTATTAATAATAATTTCAATAGTATTATTTATTGGAGGGTTAATAGATTATACAAGTATGAGAAATTATTCACAAAGTGCAACATTGTATCTCAGTAGAAAAAATCATATACATATGAGAACATTTAACCGAGAACTATAATATCCACACGACTTAAAACGACAATAACTAACTACTTGACCATTTGTAGATTAAGTTAATTGTAACTGTACCAGGATTGTTGTGAATTCTCTTTTTATGTTAGTTCGAAGAACTTTGAGTATTTATTTAGTATACTAGGTGCTATGTAACAGAATCATTAATTTTAAATTTTGAAGGAGTGTGGGCTGGTAGCGATAGTCATTATGAAGGAAAAGCTGTTGAAGCGAAGATTCTCTGTCAAAAAAGATATCTCGCAGATTTATACTTCAGAACCTTGAGTTTTAAAGCATTTTCTCTTACATAATATACAGTGATCTGTTTGGGACTGCTAATCTCATTGAAACAAAATTTCGTGTAACGGTTTCATTACCTCAGTGAGAAAAGGATAATAAACTGCTTTACAGTAATATAAATGTGTGAGGATTAATTAATTAACAAGTTTTATATTGACATCACTTGTTAATATATATGTACAGGGTGTTTGGAGGTCGATACAAGGTCTTGGGGAGGGGATAGGGTAGACCATTTAGAGTATTTTAAGCCAAACATACCTCAGCATAAAGTCTCACGGTTTTCGAGATATTCGGATTTTCAAATTTAAATCATAAATTAGTAAACGAAACAAAATAAACTATTGAAACATGCTTTACTTGTGTTCAAAGTGAGATCCATTGTTTCTAATACATGCTCGAGCTCTACGTGTTACTTCGGTAGTTGTTGTATTCAATAACCTGTCTTGCTACATTAAATAAAAAGCTTATCGAATTTTTCTTATTAACTGGTCTCTTGATACGATTTATTCAGTGTGAACTAACTGTTTGGCCCCCTCCAGACATAGAAATCGAATGGTGTCAAGTCCTGGGATCTAGCGGGTCATGGAATTGGTCCACCTCTGCCTATCCAGCTATTTGGAAAATTATCGTCCAAATATTGTCTTACGTCTAATCGGAAATGAGCCGGATATCCGTCGTGCTGGAAAACAATTTGCATGTCATCTGGAATTTCTAGTCCTACAAGTAAGTCGGGAAGATCATTTTGCAAAAAGTGTAGATAACTGTGACCGTTTAATGATTTATGCAAAAGGTGAGGACTGATTAATCTTTGTCCCATTACGGCGGCCCATGCATTAACGGAAAATTTGTACTGGAAAGACATCAGTTTTTTCAGTGTGGATTTTCCTGCCTATCAGCCCGTTGATACAAATTGTGAAAATTTGTAATGCCCTCATTTGGAAAATTGGATTCGCCTGTCCATAGAATGCTTTCCAGGAACCGTTCATTCTCAATGTCACTATGTAAGAGGATCACCACCTGTAAGTCCTTGTACGCCGATACCATGAAAATGACATTTTCTTTCACGGTGCATGATACTCCAAACCTTCCATGGCGACAAACCAAGATCAGCAGCAACTTTCCTAGTACTTGTAGTGGGATTATCTTCAAACGCTTGGAGGATTAGATCTTCGGTTTCAGGAGGATATCGACCAGGTTCATTACGTGTTACACTTTCAGTCTCGTAAAGACGTCGGTAAGTATTATAAAACACTCTGACATTAGGCAATATTCTCCCAGGAAATCGCTCTCGGAACAACCGTCGTGCTTCTAGTCCATTACCATTCGCTCTGCCATATATGTTATCGATATCTGCGTAGACTTCGATAGTAAAAGCGGCTATTTTACAAACTAATTAATTCAGGGTTTTTAAACTGAAATTCATGAATTACTATCGACTTGTTTGGAAAGGAATAAAGCAAAAATGTGTGTTTGTTTTATCATGCACGCAAACACGTTCCTCCTTAAGCCGGTTTTCCACCAAAGCAACTGGGTTTTGTTTCCAAAAAGAGCAACAAAAACTAGTTGCTGTCTTTGGAAACAAAAATTCAACTATGTGTCCACCAAAGCAACATCAATAGATATTTTTGTTTTCGGTTTGTTTTCATCTGTTTCTACTAAAGAGACAGGAAACAGTTTGAAAATGTCGACTAAGAGCGATGATTTATTTGTGATTGCATGTGGGTTTTTCGTTATTCAATCAATTAAAGAAAAACAAAAAAAAAGAAAACCAAGATATTGGGTAAGGCCATTTTTAAAGGAACGGAATAAGTATGGCATACACGAAATGATTAATAACCTACGAAAAGATGATTTGGGAATAAATGGTGAACTGAGGTCTTCATTTAAAAACTTCGTAAGAATATCAAGTGCTGACTTTGAGTATTTAATACAACTAGTGGGTCCGAAAATTTTTAAGCAAAACACCAACTATAGAGATGCTATTTCCGTAACAGATCGCTTGGCAATTACATTACGATTTTTGGCAACAGGGGATAGTTTTCAAAGCTTAATGTATTTATTCAAAGTATCCACTACCACAATTTCAAGAATTGTGCCGGAAGTATGCAGTGTTCTATTCGAAGAACTATGTCATTTCATACAGGTGAGTAAAATTTCTAGCAGACACATAAGGTATTTTTAATTATATTTTTTAAAAACAGTAAACACAAATGCAAAGTTATTTAATACTGAACTTAATACTGAACATTTTCTTAAAAAACACTCTTTCACCTAAAGAAAATACTGAACATTAATTATTGTTTGCTTCTTGTACTTCTGGTACTCCGAACGAATTTATGGCCCAGTGCAAAACGTCAGCATCACTACTAATAATATTAGTGGCTCCCAATGTAGCGTCCATTGCAGATGATGATGCTTCGGAATTGGAAGCAAAATGAGTTTGTGATCCTGAATTGGAAGCAAAAGGAGTTCGTGATCCTGTTTGTGATTACGTTGTGGGTATGAAGGATAGTCATATTTTCCTAGTTTGGCGTTGAATAATATGTCGTTAATTAATTTTTGAGCGGTAACTTTTGCAAATTTGGTCGACAGAGAACGTATTTGGTGCCCTACTAATTCTCCATAAATGTTATACTCGTCCCGCACTTGTGTACCGCCGTTTGACCTATGAAATGCAGCCTTCATCATTTGGAAAGCCTCTTGAGTAATATTCTCGTTTTCAGTTGTTGAAGTAGGTTTACCCTTTTTTTTGCGACTCGATTTTGGAGGTACAAGGAACTGCTCTCCTTCCGATGTATTTCTTTTTGGCGTACTTGGCATATCGTTCAACTGTTCTTGGTGAGGTACTTGGTTACCTGCCTGTACGGATTGCCGGTCCTCAAGGCGGACAACTTCAAAATCTTCTATGTTTTCCTGGGTTTCGGCTTGTGATTGCACTACTCTGTCTTCTAAAAGGCTTTCATTATCGCTACCGTCTGTTGAATCACTATCCTAAAATAAATAGTATCAATAAATATCAAAATATCACTATTAAGCATTCTGATATATTTAAATAAATGTATTTTTCCTTTCTGGTTCCAACTGTTCCCAATGGATGGAAAAAAATTGCTAATTACTACAATAATTTATGGAATTTTCTGATGTGTCTTGGCAGTATGGATGGCAAACATATAATAATTCAATCCCCGAAGTTCAGCGGAAGTGAATATATAAACTATAAGGGAACTTTCAGTATTGTTTTGTTCGCTATAGTCGATGCCAATTACAATTTTATATATGTTTATATAGGCTGTCAAGGTCGCATCTCAGATGGTGGAGTTTTTAAAAATAGTGGATTTGCAAAAGCACTAGATAAATCAATGCTTAATTTCCCACAACCAACTATATTACCTGGCCGACAAAAACCTGTTCCATACGTTTTGGTGGCAGACGATGCATTTCCTCTGTCTGAAAACATACTTAAGCCTTTTGCGGGGAATCAGGATCGTGGGTCAAGGCAGCGGATATTTAATTACCGTCTTAGTAGGGCAAGGCGAGTTGTAGAACACGCATTTGGCATTTTAGCATCAGTTTTTAGATGTCTTCTAAAACCTATTCTTTTAGAACCAGAGAAAGTTGAAAAAATTACAATGGCTTGCGTTACTTTGCACAATTTTTTAAGAAGAAATGCACAAGCAAAAGATCTCTGTACTCCACCAGGATCATTTGATGCAGAAGATTTAGAACTTGGGACACTAACTGAAGGGGCCTGGAGAAAAGATTCGGAAGTGCTTCAATCATTTTCGCCTATAAAAAAAGTGGCAAGAAAATCCTCATATATAGCTAAAGAAATTCGAGACGAATTTAGTGAATACTTTGTGTCGGAAATTGGACAAGTACCTTGGCAATCAAAATATAATTAATTTAACTTTCACTTAAGGGCTTCTCTTTTCAATCATAAATTACAAAAGCCTTTTATGAATTTCCTTGTTTTAGTTGAATTTGAAATTTAATATTCTTGTGTTATGTACGAGAAAAAATTAAAATCTTTTTATTAGTTATGTATTAAAATACAGGTGTACTGTAGTTAGCTTTAGGAAGTAGTTTACATTTTCTTTAATAGTTGATATACTTATATAATAAATAATATCATTGTAAACAAAGTATGTATTCCATAAAATATACCTCCGCACTATTTTTTAAATTTAAAAGATTTGTGATTAACTTACGTCATATTCAATCCCCGCTTGGTGGCCCTTTTTTTGGCTTATTTCTGTCTTGCAAGAATGCCATTGCTGTATATCCAAACCATTTAGCTTTAAATTCATTTCCAGCACCCGACTTTTGGCACTTCTTATAATTTCTTCTTTCTCTTTGGTACTGTGTATTTATGTTTTTTAATTTTCGTTCAATTTCATCCTTGGTTGTTCCAAATATTTCCGCTATTTCCTTTAGTGAATCGTATTTTTTATATCTGTTTTTATAATCAACATTTTTTGGATTCCATAAGTTAGGCCGTTCTCGATATACCTCAATTAAATTAGTCACTTCTTCTATTGTCCACGTTTTCTTGTTCATTGTAAATGCACGAAGAGTAAAATCGCGTGACTTATTAAAAAATTAAAACAACAAAAATACCGGAATACGAGTCTCTTGTATGTTTGCACTAAACGAATTGTGTTGCTAAAACCTGCAACCCAACAAGAAAACCTTTTGATCTTTCCGCTCCGAGACGGGACTTTCAACAATTGCCAGAAACAGTCGCCAGCAACACAATGTTGCCGGAATGTTTCCAAATTCGGCAACTCCAACTTGAGTTGCTGTTTTGTTGATGTTTTGTTGGTTTGGTGGAAAACCGGCTTTACCAATATCACAAAAATAGGAAAACATGTATTTATTATTTGTTTACAGTCAATTTGCTTTTTTTGTCTACTTTCGGAGAAAAAACACACTGTCAGGTATTTAAAAACTAGTTCACATAGCCTGATGTTCTTTCAGTGATAACAAGAACAAGAGATTTTTTTTTCAATAAAAATCGAGAATCTCGATTAACTCGAAAACCGTAAGACTTTGAACTGAGGTATTTTTGGCTTAAAAGATTCTAAATTGTCTGCCCTGTCACCTCTCTAAGACTGCGTATCGACCTGCCATACTTGTCTACATATACAGGGTGGCGCATCGAAAACGAAACAGTCGCATTAACTGGCAGCTCAGTTTTTTTCTTTTGGAAAAACGCTCAGACCCGTCGATTTTGTTTTCGAGGGGACACAAGTTTGGCAAAAAATCACATTAACACGTGCAGCCCAGTGAGCGGGGGTGACACGAACCCTAATATCTTAAATGGAAAGGGGGTCGAGCGATACCTTATTTTAAAGGTCTTTCAATTCCCTTTATAATGATATAAAATTAATGTATCAGTTCAGTAGTTTTGAAGATATATTGATTTAAAGCTTAAAGTAGACTTTAATAAATCAGATTAGTTTGTACTAATTTCAGAAGAAATTTGACTAAAAGAATTTACTTAGTAAGTAAATGCTTTTCTTCACTACGCCCATGGTTTGCTTATCATTTTGTTGTTGAAAATCGCTATTGGAGCGTTTTTTGTGCCAAAAAAGTTATTTCTTGAAGAAAGATAAGGAAATATCTCGTACTTATTTTAAATAGGAATTTAGTACATAGTTTGCCATTGATTTGACCAAACTTTGTTGCTAAAATAACTTGTAACGCTTTATTACATAAATTAACCATGGTATATTCCACAGCAGAAAGAGTTGAAATTATCGAAATATTTTTCGGAAATAATCAGTGCGCTAATAGAACAGCAGAAATATTTAATGAGCGACATGAGAACAGTAACGTGCATCGAAAATATGTTCTAGAACTTATAGCTAAATATGGGGAAACTGGGTCAGTCGCCAATAAAGAACGCAAGATTGAAAATCCCATAAGGAACGAAGCAATAGAAGTGGGGGTTTTAGGGCAAGTTTATGTAGATCCTACGTTAAGTACCCTCAAATTGGAGACTGTGTGTGGTGTTAGTCAACGTACTGTCCAAGGGATTCTGAAGGCCCATAGATTTCATCCGTATAAAATTCACCTGGTACAAGAACTTAATGAAGACGATTTTGATCGGCGATTACAATTTTGTGAAGATATGAGTGAGCTAATTATAAACGATGAATATTTTCTATTCAACACTTGCTTTTCCGACGAATGTTCCTTTTTCTTAAATGGCGTAGTAAATTGTCATAACAGCCGATATTGGTCCGATTCTAATACCAGAATTTATCATGAGGTTCATACACAGCAGCCACAAAAATTATATGTTTGGGCTGGTATTTTTGGCGATCATTTAGTTGGTCCTTTTTTCTTACCTGGAAATTTGACCGGTGAAATGTATTTGGAATTACTGGAAGACGCCATAGATCCTGCACTACCAGTCATAATTGAAAATCAGAATGATCGGCGGTACATTGCGAATAGGTTGATGTTCCAACAGCATGCTGCCCCACCACATTACGCATTACGTGTTCGACAATATTTAGATCAGACGTTTCCATATCGATGGATTGGTAGAAGAGGTGCCATTGAATGGCCCCCAGGATCGCCAGATTTATCACCTTTGGGTTTCATTATGTGAGGTCATTTAAAAATCAAAATCTATGCTACTCAGCCAACATCATTAGAAGACCTGCGACAAAGAATTGTGAATGAGTGCCTTCAAATTACTCCTCAAATATTGCAAAATGTGCGGCAACGTTTTGAGCAAAATCTTTATTTTTGCATGGAGAGTCATGGTGGCCATTTTCAACATTTACTTGCCTAACGGGTCAGTCCATTCTTCATTTTTAAATTACTTTGCTGCCAAATGTATTGATCTCCACTAATGATGATGTATTAGTTTTATTTAAGCTTTAAATCAATAAATCTTCAAAACTACTAAACTGAAGTACATTCATTTTATATCATTATAAAGGGACCCCCCTTTCCATTTAAGATTCTGGGGGTGGTGTCACCCCCGCTTAGGGGGCTGCACGTGCTAACGTGATTTTTTGCCAAACGTGTGTCCCCCTCGAAAACAAAATTGACGGATCTGAGCGTTTTTAAAAAAAACTGAGCTGCCAGTAAATGCGTCTGTTTCGTTTTCGATGCGCCACCCTATATGTACAGGGTGACTTCGAAGTTGAGTCATTTATTTTAACAGTGAGTAGATCTGATCAAAAGAAATGTTTTTTCCTTTACCATTTTTCTGGTAAAATTAAAGTAACAAAGTTATAGCCCTTTGGAAGTTTGAGTACCGCCCTGTCTCAATAATAATATAATGTGCTCGTGTTTGGCGACAACGGATATAATCCGCCGTATCGGTTCATCGCATCGGAAACAAAAAAGCGAAAGAATTTGGAACGATGTTTTTACAATTATGTATTTCATTCATTTGTATACAGTCAGTGTCAGTGGATAGTGGTATCTGTTGCGTGGCTCAAACGAAATAAAAAATGGCACATGTTTATGCGGATCGGTTTCCCAATCGAGTGCAACCAACCCCTCGTGCCTTTGTTAATGTAGTACAACGGGATCGTGAATCAGGTGACTTAAGACCTCACAGGGGACCTCACGATCAAATACAGGTCCGCACTGAAATACTTGTCGGGAGGATACTTTATAAAACAAGGTAAAAAATTTTTTTTTATTTTTACACACATATTTTGGTTTATCTTCCTTCTACAATCATTATCTGAAAATTAATGACTCAACTTCAAAGTATATGTCCATGTGTGGACGGAATATTACTCACAAACAAATACATTTTGGAAAATCTATCTATCTATGTGATTTTTCAAATAGAATGTCCCAAATTTTATTGCATATTTGGATAAACCAATTGAAAAGAAGAAGATTGATACATACTATGGGGTGTTGGCAATTAGCTGCTGATATATAAGGTGTTTTGTCTAGAAAAACCCCCCGCTTCGGCAACCCCTCAGTCCGCTATTTTGAAATTTGGAGTGCCGAATTTTGTATCAAAAAAAAAACTTACACACCTCAGCTTTTATCTTATTTGTTACTTTTTCGAATTTTAATTTTTGGTCAATAACGCAAATTGTAGTTTTTCTCAAAAATTTCAAATGCATCACCCTATAAATTTGTGCAAGTTTGGATTCAATTTTTTATAAGCTTTTTTTTGATACTAGACACATAGGAGTTTTTACGGCTATTTATTCGGTTATTAGCACATCTTCTATGGAACGGCTTAATTCCCTAAAGTATCGCATCATCCTTGGAAACAAATAAATTGTTGATTAGTTACAAACTGTCAAAATTAGCTTTGTCAGCATTATGATAAGAACGTGTTTGAAAATGAATTTTTCTAAAGAAGAAATGGTGAATATGGTGTTCGTTTTGGGCGAAGTCCAAAGAAATAGTTTCCTAGCTTCTCGCATTTATAAGCAACGGTACCCTATACGACATCCAAGGCCGGAAACATTTTCCATACTACGAGAACGTTTTGAATCAAGTGGGGCAGTGAAATATAGTAAAAAATGTATAAATAATCCAAGTGTCACCAATGAGGCGAATCAGTTGGAAGTTCTATTAAGGTTGCAGAAAAATACCCTGTATAATTACCAATATTTTATAAATAATGCCCTCAAATGTCATGTATAACATGTCATAAATAGATTTTCCCAAAATGTATTTGTTTATGAGTAATATTACGTCCACACATAATGGTTTGTATTTATAATAATATATAATATATATTATAATGAATAATATATAATATACGAGGGGGGCACCCAAAAAAACGTAATTATGTTAAAATCTATTTATTTTTAACTTTTTCACAAAGTAACCCTATCTTCTTCAAAATATTGTCCACTACAACTAGCACACTTGTTCCACCGGTGTTTCCACTGCTCGAAACATTTTTTGAAGTCTCCCTTAGAAATGTCTGACAGCTACTAACTCGTTTTTTTCGTGACCTCTACAATGTCGTCAAAGCGACGACCTTTCATGCCCCTTTTCATCCGTGGAAATAAGAAAATGTCGCACGGAGCCAGGTCAGGTGAATAAGGTGCGTGAGGCAGCGGAACTATGCCATTTTTAGCCAGAAACTGTCGAACAGAGATGGCTGTGTGCGCAGGTGCATTATCGTGGTGGAAGAACCAGTCTCTTGACTGCCACAAATCGCGTCTTTTTTGCTAAACACTGTTTCGCAATTGTCTTAAAACGTCCAAATAGCACAAGCCCTTGCATTTTCTCAACATTTTCGTCGATTTGGGCAGTTGATGGACGTCCAGAGCGAGGTTTGTCAGTAATCGACATGTCGCCATTTTTAAATCGGGCAAACCACTAGTACACCTCAGTTAACCCCATAGCATCATCTTTGTAAGCTATTTTCAACATTAAAACAGTTTCCGCAGTATTTTTACCAATTATAAAGCAAAATTTCACAGGTGCACGTTGCTCACTGAAGCTTGCCATCGTTAAAAACAAGCACGAAACAGCTCTAGCAAAAATAATGACTACACAGGCACAGATTATACAGATGCGACACCTGATGTCGGTCCATTTGATATTTCTGTACCCCAAATGCTTACCACATTTCCCGCTTATGTTCATTAGCGTCCGGAGGATTTTTTCCTAGGGGTTCTTACAACTATGGCGCTTCATAAGACAACAAAGAAGCGAAATGAAAGAGCTAGTTGAAATAGAACTCATAAAAGAGGATATATGGGTGCCCTTCCTGACGGAAATGTTTAAAAAAGAAAACGAAGAATCTTTACCAGAAACGCCAAATATAATAACTGATGAAAAGACCGAAATCTCCCAAGAAGTTGTGAAACAAGGAATAATTAAATAAAAAATAGAAAGTCACCAGGAGATCAAATACCAAATGAACTCTTAAAATATCGAGGTGATTACCTTGTACCACAACTGCAACTCCTTATTCAAAAAATAATCACCACGAACAGAATACCAGATGAATGGAGGAGAGCCATCATGCTGATGTTCTTCAAGAAAAGAGATAAGAAAGACCCCAATAATTATCGTTAAATACAACACTCAAAGTGACAACAAGAATAATAGCGACAAAAATAAACGAACGAATAACTCTGCAAGACGAACAGCATGGATTCCGGACAGGAAGATCATGCACGGATACAGTTTTTGTAATAAGACAAATAAAAGAAAAGTCGCTGGAATACAACAAACCAGCATATATGTGCCTCATAGATTTGAAGAAAGCGTTTGATAGAGTGAGAATTTGGGACGCGATACATTTATTATATGACACGGGCATACCACTGGATTTAGTAAAAACTATTGAGAATATATATAAAGATAACATAGCTCTTGCAACCTATCAAGTATGAAAATGGCATTAGACAAGGAGATTTGCTGAGCCCACTAATATTTAATCTGATAATGGATGAAATCATAAAGAAAGTTAAAAAAAGAAGAGGATATAGAATGGGAGAAAAGGAAATGTACATAATATGCTACGCCAACGACGCCATAATAATAGCCGAAAATGAAGATGACCTACAAAGATTAATTAAAGAATTCGAAGATACGGCGCTCATCTACAACATGGTGATTTCAACAGAGAAAACTAAATCGATAGTGATATCAGCGGAACCGAGACGATGTAAACTGGTCGTAAATAACAAAATAATAGAACAAGTGATGGAAACGGAATACTTGGGAATCAAACTGTCAAGCTATGGACAAGTGGAAGAAAAAGTACAAAAACGAGTGAGCATGGCAAACAGAGCAGCAGGATGTCTCAACAATACAATCTGGAGAAACAAATACCTCACAACGGAAACGAAAACTAGGATATATAAATCAACAATAAGACCGATAATGACGTACACAGCGGAAGCAAGAGCAGATATGGCGAAAACACACAATACTATTGAAAACAGCAGAAATGAAAGTCTTACGAAAAATAACAAACCAAACTCTAAGAGACAGAGTAAGAAGTGAGGAAATATGAGCGAGAGGAAATAAACCTATGGACCAAAAAAAGAAAAATAGAATGGAATCAACACATAGAAAGAATGACAGAAAATAGAACAGTACGAATAGCAAGAGACAATTCGCCAAATGGAAGGAGATCAATGGGACGACCGAGGAAAAGATGGTCAGACAACATCAATTGAGGCTAAAAACCGAAGTAAAACAGGCATGAGCCTATTAATAAAGTAGGAAGAAGAAGAAGAAGAGTTATTTCGCGTTATTAGCCTGACGTGTTTATCTAGCAGTTTTGGCGTAATGGACATAGTCAGCTGCTACATTTATAATACTACCAGAAATTTTCCTTTCAATAGAGGAATGCATTGAATCGCACTACATTTGGATATGGCCTATTTCTAAGTACTTCTGAATAATGCAGACATTATACCGAAGTGCAAAATTTAAAAGAGCATTCGACAAAATGGAGTTGCGGTTTTGTGCCGCGCAGCCGTAACTGTAAAGTATTATAGTAGGTTTATTATCTGAATCAATGGTTGGTAATACTTTTTTACTTAAAAAATTTCAAATAACTAAAGCGAAACAGTTGGATTTTAGCTCACCTTCCTTCTCATGCCATAGAAAGCAATACCCATCCGTTGAGTGCAAGTTAAAGATGGTAAAGTTATGAACAATTAACTTGGTTTTGTAATACAATGCAGAAACGTTTGACTTGGGGCAGAGGAGCACCGATTGTATGTCCATTGTGAAAACTTTATTAGATGGTCTTTTATCATTTTCTTTTTCATGTCGAACTTCTTCCTTCTTCGAAACATGCTCTTTGTAGACTTCTTTGGTAAGGTTCTTTGTTTTGTAGGCTGCGCAGACATCACACTCGTCCTTCTTTGGTGAAAAAGGTGAGAAATTCATTTCGTCAAAAATATACTTAAACGTGGTCATACTGGTTGGATCCATGTTTCTTTTCTTGCACCAGGAATATTTGTAAAGAGCGTAAAGCTTAGATTTGTTTCTCCATCGGGGTTCCAAATATAATTTAGTAGTTGATTTGCGGCAATAGTGTGACTCTAATTTAGGAAAACAGTCGAAAAATTCTGTTATTGATGCTTTCCTTTCCATTTTTTTTTTATGTTTAAATTCTGTAGATTGTTTAGGACATTCAGGTTCTTCAATATTTTTTTTTCTGGGTACAAAAGCCCTTTGCGAATCCAGAGGGTAATAGTTCTTGAGGACATTCCTAATGTGTTACAGAACATAGTTTTACACACCCTAACTCTATCTTCATTTTTCTTATCAATAAAAATATTGCAAGATGCAGCTCTTCGACTTATTTCATCATTTCTCCTGTTTCTCGCTCTTTTAGTTTCAGTTGTCTTCGTTCTTCCTAAAACATAGACCTGTTTTTCTTTCCAAGAGAAATTCCAGAATTTTTTAAAAATGTTTTGTCTTTCCTCTTCATTAATTTTATAACACTGAAAAGATTTTTTTTTCAGTTGAACATGAACATCGATTCTTTATTTCCTTCCCACTTTTTTTCACCACAAACTTGTTGTCTTTTCTTCCGAAATAGATCTCTCCTTTTTCACTTTTTATTTTATTTGTATTATATTCCCAGTCGTTTTTGTCGCTCAGTATGTTTTTTTTTTCTTTTACTTTTTGTTGAATTATAACTTTCTTCCTCATCTGAATCTAATTCTAAAATATTCTGAAAGTCTTCTGAGCTGCATCTGTTTTCCACCCAATTCTTATCTGAGCCATTTTCAGTCATTTTTGTTTTATTTTTGTCATTTTGTTTCAAATCATTATTTGAAGTAACATTCTGATCGACGGTACTTTCATCCCTTTCTTCTGTTTCAATAATTGTTGCATTATTCAGGCAATCTAGGTCTATTAGGGTACTTAAATCACCTGTGTTATCTATTATTTCTGTAACGAAATCTGCATTACCTAGGTCAGGGTCGACATTTTCCTTTAGGGCTTCCCGACTTTAAAACACTCCTATTGTAGATTGTTTATTACAAGAGTTAATTCGTTATTGTCTGATGGACTAAAATTATTTTGAGGCAGATCTAATGTTCTCTCTTCTATAAGAACCTTGCTCGATATTTTGAAGCTTCTTGAACTTTTATTCATTCTGAAAAGAAAAAGATCCTAGAAGCTACAGCATTTTAGTTGAGATAATATATAAAAATGTACTTTATTCATAAAATAATAATAAATGGATTCACACAGATCTTAACGCATGTTCAATTCAAATTAAAAATGATAATCAGAAAACGTATGGAACCACTGGGTAAATACACAAACTAGTATAAATATGTAACGCTTCCTTTCCGCAAAAAGTCCAGAAAAGATGGAATGCAATGAAGATTCCAACTTTTCTGCACAATGACAGAAAGGGGGTTACCATTAGCTTCCGGTAGCTCAGCCGGTGGCATGAAGACATCTACAGGCGTGTAGCTGTGTGTCTACCATGGCATGGCTAGAGGATAGAAGAACAAACAGAACACAAAAATTTAACAGATTTTATTTAACAAAAAAGCATTTTCATTACATTACAATTTTAAAGTTTTAAAGAACAAAAGTTTTAAATCTTTGGCGCTGCTATAAAACTATCAACTTATCTTTCGCTGGTCCATTTTTGACTGGACTGAAGCGAGGATGGCCAGGTGCTTGAAGTGAAGGTCCCAGTTATGAGGGGTGACCTCACATTTAGTGGCTTCAGAACTAGATGTAGGCGAAGTTGAACTTAAAGGTGATAGCGCTGCCAAGGCACATGCATGGGTGAAGTGATAGGTCAAGCAATGCAAAGTCAAAGACAAAGGCAAAAGCAAAGTCAAAGACAAAGGCAAAAGTCAAAGACAAATGCAAAGGGAAAGGGAAAGAGAAAGGGGGTCGCCCCAATCTGAAAAAGAACCGTGTGCATTAGCAACGTGCCCTAATGGCCAAGGCATTTCCAATCTCAGTCTGCCTCAAAAGAGAACCAACGATTTTCTAGGTTAGAATTACATTACATAGTTTGATAAAATCAAACCGAAAATTGGAAATGCCTTTCATAAAATAAAATCATGAAATAGCAAAAAAAAGCGTAAAACAAGATGGTGGTCATCAAAAATTTCTCCACATGCTTCTGAAATAAAAACACAAATATCGAATATTCATAATCAACGTACTTATAATTTCACTGAACTATGAATATATATATATATACGCACACAGAGGTAAAATCGATGTGGATCGATTTCCACCTCGATTTGATTAAAGTTATGGCGAATGATGGAAGTAGTCGAAAATAACGTTCGATGGATATTTTAAAATCGTACAAGAAATAAACCACTTACATATCGATTATCTATAAACTACAGGCAGATCCAGCAATAAAACTGTATAGTATTATAAAACTCACCATTTTGTCCTATTCGGACACACATTCTACAAAATTCTAGCACATGGTGCTATACGACCTCATGCTACAGAGAACAAAATTCTTAGGTCTTGCTAGATCGGCGGCTCAAGTGAAAAGGAAACGCGAGGAAGATCGCAGATCAGGAACTCCGCATCAAGAGCTCCAAGCGGAAAATTTTCCAAGCAAAAAAGCTAGAGATGGGATTAATGATTTGCGATTCTGAAATGATAATCGAGAAGTGATTTAATAAATACGATCGGACGGTGAAACCGTTACAAATATTATTATATGTTTGTGGACTTACCCGATGTATTTTGCTGCACTTTTTGATAATCATTTAGTGTAAATTATATTCACTGGAGAAAGCTACAGGGAAACCAGACACCGTAAAATGATGGTTAATAATAAGCATTGACAGCGCGTACTTACGCAATATCCATACTGTTGTAGAGAAGCTGGAATTGAGCAGGTTTCATTTGCGAGTATTGTGGCACCATCTAGCAACGTAAGCTCAAACTGTGAACTCCGAATCGTAGATTTCAATTTGCATAGTTAGATAACACTAAAATCTCGATTTTTGAAAAAAGTGGACTTACGCACTTTTCATATGATGGTGATGTATAATAAATAATATATAATATGTCACATAAAATATATAATATATTAGGGTTTCCCATTTTAATCTACCTATCTAAATATTGCGAAAACTGCGCATTCTGTAAAAAAAGATGTTCTAGGGATTCAAGGGGCAGAGTTGAGGTGACTGTGACAATAACCTTAACTATGGCTTTCGAGGTTATTTATATTTTTTCATATCGGAAATGAAAAGAAAAACAAATTTCACATCTCCTTGGCTTGACATTAACCATTAGAACAATTCAATGTCAACGATAACAATTTGATCTAGCAAAGTTGTTCGACAGTACAGTTGCGTTTACCTTGTACCATGCTCGACCTCCGTGCTCTGCATTATTCAAGATCGTTCCGATCTGGATAAGCGCTGCAAACTATCCGATTTATATGGAAATGAATATGAGTTCCTTAACATATAGTATATCACCGCAAATAATGAAGATTGCGTCATATTTCAACTATTACCGGGAAATTTAGGTTGTAAAGACTCCATTTGAGATGGGCTGCAACAGCACGTGATATCTGCAAATGGCAGATATTGATTGCAAGTAGATTGCTTTAACTCATGATGACAGTGGTAGGGACAGGCCAATTTCGGTGTCTTCAATATATCGCATATTGTTGCTATTTTCCTTCGCATGGCCATATGTATTAAGACTGTAGCATGTCAGAAGGTGATGGAAGATTTTGACCTTCTTCCCTATCCTACATCACATTGCTTCAAGGGTTTGATCAAAATTGTGGTGACTAAAATTTAGTAGCTACAAAAATGATGCGAAGATACAGACAGTATACGTAGATGTCATAAGGTATAGTGATAACGATAGATAAAAGAAGTATGTAAGTAGTAATAACGAACGTTCAATCATTAACGTATGAACACGAACACTAGAGATATGAGGTATTCATATGAATCTCATCCTGTCACCACGGACGGTGTGGCTCCCGAATATGACGTAGAGCGTCTGCGCATTGAAAGAAAAAAATTCAGCATAGCCTGTCGTAATCTTTAGGTTTGTTCGTACAGTGGCCTACGACTGGTGACTGTGTCTGGGATCCGGCCGCATGAATTCCGTCTGTATAGCGTGGCAGAATGATCAAAATTTGCGTGGCGGGATCTTGGACACAGGTTGGTTTATCAACTAGTGATTTTTTATTAATACTATCCATTATTAGCAACTTGTCCGAACTACCAAACTTGGAGTATTTACAGTGATGATGAAAGCAGCAGCAGAGATACCACATGCGCAGAACCTTAATATCATTTCCACAGTGAACCCACGAGGGAGATGCACTATGCGCAGCACCTGAGATCCATTTCCTGCACAGTCTACTAACGACATTTTGGACTTCATCCCCATTCTGTATGTTTAACCTCCTATCTTTTGTCTTTGTCCATATTAATCTTCCTCATGTGTGCTTGTCACTGTCAGTATAACAACTTGTTTGCCATGGGCGTGCGATTTCTGTTTACCCTTATTGCTCTTCGATATAAAACATAGCAGTGCCTGAAGATGTTATTACGTAAGATATGTCAAAAAACTAAGAAAATGTTAACTTGTTGACTGAGTAGGTTAGGGTACCTACAACATCGTGTAGCAAAACCTACAAAATGTCTTAAAAAACCTACATAATGACAAAAAAAATCGACATAATGTCACTTTGCAAGTTACGTAATACCTTTGCGGAGTGGAAACAACGGCCCAGTTCATGTGTGTATGTGTGTAAGAACGAGTATTGTTATGTATTGGCTTGCGCAGTGAGTAATTGTCCCTAGCGAAGTTCAGCTACGCGCACGGTACCGTTAGTGAATCTGTTTACTTGTTTCGTATAACATAATAAAAGCAAGCATATTAAAAACTTGGTTGTTCAGTTAGATAAAACTTATATAGTCAAATCATATAGATATTATTTCATG